GTCTTTTGCCCCTCCTCCCAAAGTAGCACAGGCACCAGTGCTGCAAAAGTTCGGGTCTAAAGCTAAAACTAAAGTCTGAAATAACTCTAAGTAGCAGTGTGTTACAACTCCATTCCTAGTTTTTGCATAGTTCCAGTGCGGAGGGGTCTCTTCTCCCCACCCCCTTCCCGTCGCCCCGCCCCCAAAGGTGCGTTCTGGTTCCGCCTTTGAGCCTATCTAATTGTTATAGATGTTAGATTTCCAGTCAATGTAGACTCTTTGTTCTGTCAATTTTAATGTGTCGTATTAGAAAAAGCGTCTTAAATCGTATCTTGATTTAGGGCAAAACTTTGAAAAAGGAGGAGTGGATTTGGACGTGGATTTAAAAGCAATACGAAATATCGGTATTATTGCGCACATTGATGCCGGTAAAACAACAGTCACCGAGCGGCTACTGTACCTTGCTGGTGCAACAAAGTTCATGGGCGATGTTGATTCCGGTCTGTTATTATGGTTTTCTCGAATTTCGTGCGTTATTTGCCAGGATAACGATTACGCTAGGATATTTTGTGTTCTTTTTTTGATAGATAAGGTACCTTATCGTGGCCTGGAAGTGGCAGTTTTCTTGGGAAGCATATATCAGGGACATCCCGAAACACCAAAATAGAAAGGTATTTTGAAGTAGGAAAAAGAAGAGAAGCGAAAATAATATTAAGAAATTAGTAAAATTTCGATAATTTTGATGAAATAAAAATTTTGATAAAATTATTATAATGGTAAGAAATTGTGCCAAACGTTTAACTGCCGTGCGAATCGTTGAAGTGATCATCTTCAGCAGGTGAAACCAGCGCCAGCATCGCCCGGCGACTGACCACCAGGCAGATGCATCGTTGGTCTGAGCAACTGTTTGGCCACTAGACCATAAATAAGTACAGTTGATCCAAATAACTGAAGTGTTTTATCCTTGTACATACTTTTTTACTCATGACTTTTCTAACCTAAAGCAGCAGCATTCATCCGGGTTTTTACCAACTTTTCGTAGG